GGGATCTTCCCAGACCAGGAATCAAATCCGTGTCCCCTGCATTGGCAGGTGGATTCTTAACCACTGTGCCACCAGGGAAGTTCCAGTTTTGTTACTTTTATGGTTATGGTTATGGTTAACGCCATAATTGGTGCTCTGTGTAATAGTTACTTCAGTGACCTTCTGGACTGTGTATCCCATGGATGTTTGGTGGAGGTAGTCATAAAAATTTTTATGCCACCTAGAGTTCTGCAAATAAAATGTTTCCACTGGCTTCTGTCTATGCAACAGCAGTTATCTGAGATGCAATTTTTCAGAATATATAATTTTTTTCCTGTAAACAGGCAAAGAAAAGCTGATATGAATTGGTCTTTCTCTGCAGAGTGATACTAAATAATAATATTTTAAGGTTTTTTCTTATTATCAAGGAACATATACTTATTGTATAATATTAGGGAAAAGATAATAAAATCACCCAGAACTGTCTCCACTAAATATAACCATTTTTAATATCTTATTGTATGTCCTTCCAGTCTTTTATATGCATATATTTTATAACCTAGTTATAATTGTGCTTATATAGTTTTATATCTTACTTTTTTCTTTTAACATGATAAATTTTTTATATTGTGATTAGGTTAAGCATTGGATAGACTGTCATTAATCATTTAGTCTATTACCTATGTTGGAAAATTTTGGTTGAGTTCATTTTATTTTTCTATTTAAAATAACCCTGTGATGAATATAAACTTTTATAACATGTATTTGATTATTCCTCTAGTATAGTTTCCTAAAAGAAATTTTGGGGCAAAGGCTATAAACATCTTTAGCGCTCACGATACACACTGACAAATTGCTTTCTAGAGAGGTTTTTAAATTTATCCAATTTTCTGTTCCATCAGAAGCAAATAGAAACAAACATACTATCAATAGCGTGTAGATACCAAGGTACACCTGGTTCTCTTCAGAGAAGTCACTTGGAAAGCTCTTCTTATTTCAGTGCAGTTGCCTTTGTGCCTGCCATTACTTCAGAGAGGCACACAGTCTTGGACACAGAGTAACATTACTCAGTTGACCATGTACTGTAGTCACTGATCTGGGTTCTGAGTAAAATTTGGCTGTTTTCAAAAATTGCAACATCTGTGCTCAAAAAGATTGGCCATCCTTGAAGATACAAAAAAGTATGAATTACCAGTTCTGAGGTTGTACCTTGCTAGCAAGTAACAAACAGCATTTGTTACTTACTTTTCCTTCTTCAAGAACCCTGCCCCTGCTGAATGCTCTTGTGATCATTAAAGCAATGCTCCAGAAAGGCCGGCAGGGAGGAGGAAGACAGAGACAGTGTGGTGCGTGCTGTCCATAGCCACTTGCCCCAGCAGTTTATAAGTAGCTGTGCTCACTTGTCTGATTTGATGCAGAGAACAAATGTAGACCTGCAAATGAGGGATTAACATAGTGTATTCATGATAAGGTAATTCTACTAAAAGAAACAATTTGGTTTTTTATGGAATGCGTTTTACTTGATGACAGAGAGAGAGAGAGAGGGAGAGAGAAGGGGAGAAGGTGAGAGAGAGACAAGGAGCAGAGAGAACGCAAATGCACGTGAGACAAAATGATAATAATTGGGGAAATCCACGCCAAGGGTATATCAGTTATATTGTACTATTCTTGCCACTTTTCCATAGGTTTGAAAAATTTGAAACTGAAAAGCTGAGAAAAACATCTGTAGTGGAGGAAAAATAATTTTCCTTTTACTCTTCTAGGTTATTGGTTCAGATCCACCTGTAATAAAAAGACAGATTAGCAGGAGAAAAACATATTTAATTTACATATGTATGTGCAGGAGCCTCACCAAGATATGAGACTCAAAGAAGTGACCAAAGCAGGAAGCTTTTGTACCTTTTAGACAAAGAAACAATAAATTTGTTTATAATTACCAAGACAGAGGTGTTTGGGCTGGGGTTAGTAAACAGTGAAGAAATAACAAGGTTTGTTTAATATAGCCTGTTATGGCCCCGATTTCCCTGTCTCTGGCAGTAAGGATGTCTTTTACCTCCTTTTACAGAGAAGCGTACCTTTCATATGGGAGATTTATTTCCTGCTTTCGGGGGACAAAGGAAGTTCAGAATGTTCTTCTTGCATTGGCAGTTTCTCAAATACCTTTAATTCAAAATAGTAAGTATGCCAATGTAGCATATTTTAGGATGACATATTCTGAACCCCTACACATACAAACAATACCAAAGTGCCTTGAAGAATGATGAAGGAATGACTGAGAATGATCAAGTACCTGACATTAAGGAAGACATGGATCAGAACACACAGGATTTTCATGTGATCATAGGTGGCCTCCTTTGGGATTCCTCCTCTGGGGGTGGGACTCCTGAGCTTGAGTTATTTCTTACAGAATAATACCCAGTGGCAGTCTCCTCAAATACATTTTATGGACAGAATTAATCACCCTGATGTAGACAAGTTGGAAAGAATCTGTTTAGATATTTTGAAAGATAAGTTGCCCCTAGCTCTAGAGATCAGCAGAGCTCTGCTTCCCATCTAGATACGTCAGTAAATGATGGAGGGACATAGGAGAAATGATAGGGGAAGACAGAGGAAACGATTGAAGCATTTAGGTCATGGACTAGCTATGCAATTAATAATATTTAAATTGGTCTGATCATCAAGCGTATACCACTTCTTTTTGGCCCATATGTCTTTCTTTTGTTTTGCTTCATGTTTTTGAAATGTTACAGAATAAAATCCTATCTATCTTAGAATAAAATGGCAGAGGAAAAACACATTTTCTATAATTACTGAACTTTTAATTTTTCGTTCTTTTGGTGCATAAACCTTTGCAGAAATGATCATACTAGGAAATATTTTTGGACCAAAACCTAAGAGTATCATATCATCAGGCCCTGTGTCATGTTAACTTTGAACAGACAGGAAAATATTTTCCAATATGATAAAAGAGCAATTCTCAAACTTTAATGGGCATATATAAATTACCTAGGGAGCTTGTTAAAAGTACAGACTTTGAGGTAGTAGGTTTGGGGAGGAGTTTAAGATTCTGCATTCCTCATGAATTCCCTGGTGACGCTGGTGCTCCTGCTTCATGGACCACATTTCAAACAGCAAGTATGGGACAGAACAAGTCTTTAGAGTCAAGCAAGGCATTAACCTCTTTGGGTGTTGGTTTCTTCAACTGTAAAGGGAGAAAATGCATGCATGAAGAAATTCTTATGAAGTTGATATAAAATAAGCATTCTGAAAGTACTTTGTAAACTTTGCTTTCTCTGGTATTAATTTTTTTTAAACTAATATCATATTGCTTTACAAATCCTTCATCTGCATTATTGCTATTCAAGGCTCTTGACACTAATGTTGAAACAATGAGCGAAATTCATTCCTATGGACCTTGCTATTACACCTATTAAGAATTCTGATTATTTGATACCTTGTTGAAGAGCTATGAGTGTTGATTAATTTTTTTCTGAAAAAAAGTTTCTTTTGAATTTTTTGGATTTCCATTTTATATCATCTTTCCTAAGACCAGCTGGAACTGCCTTCCTTTCCCTACCCAAGCCCCAGCCAAAAACAACCAATGGATATTTAGTATTGGATTTGGGGGAAGTGGTCAAACAGTGAAACCATAATCTAATAATTGTAACTATATTATTTTCAAATATAATCTTTTAACACTGTGGAATGAGAGAACACTAATTTTTGAAGAACAAAGATAAAGCAATTGAACAGCTACTGAATATCAACAGGGCTTTCAGAAAACAGGCAGTGCTAAGATTCCATCCCAATTAAAAAATTAATTAAAATATTACAGAACATAGAAATTCTTTTGGAAATAAAATTTTAACACTGAAGTTAAATTCAAAGCTCAACAAGTTCTGTTTCCTAGAGATGTTATAAGGATATATATATATATATATATATATAAAATGTTATAAGGATATAAATATATATATATATTTATTAATAGGAAGTTCCTGGACAGTGGTCAAAAGGGATAACAGCAGAACTGGCTGGATGGGAGGCTGAGCCATTTGTCTTAGACTCCCACATTTGGTTACAGACTCAAGTGTCCATAGAAAGAAATTATTTTCCAGTACTTATGAGAACAGAACTGAGATGCCTTGCTGGTGTGAGTCTAGAAACAAAAAGGAGTTTCTTAAACGCCCCTGTCTTTAACTGACTACCATTATATTAATAACTAACCTGAGGGAACATGATGGCAATGATGATGATCTCTGGGTGGAGTGGGGTAAAAGAGGAAACTATTTGATAAAGGTGAGAATTAAGCAAATGGTCCACAGGGAAATCAAGGTCGTAATTTATTTCAAAGTTTCAAAATATTTATATCTTGCATAATTATGACTACACAAATCTAACATATACGTAAGGCTAAATTATTGATTCCTTTACAATCTCACCGTATAATGAAAAATTCAGCACTAAATATTTTATTCCCTTTTTTCCTTTTCATGTTATTAATGTACTCTGAGATCTTATTTTTTCCATTATTTTTAAAATTTACATTTTCTTGTTTATTTTACTCTGTATATGGGTCCCATCTTCTTACTCTATCTTCAGACCTCCTTGTTGTTAACTGAGGTCTTGAGTAATGGCTCTTGACTCATTATCTTGTCAAATATATGCATTTGTGTTGAGTCATTTAAGGGGAGGGGATATGAAGGATCCAGAGGAAAGAATACAGATGTTAGTGAAATAACTGATGATATCAGCCATACCACATAGGGCTATCTCTATAAGGATTGAGAAAGTATATTATCCATTTTATAATTTAAAAAATCTGCATTTATATTATCCATATCTGTATATGGTATGTGACTAATCCTTAGTGAATACACATGAATATGCCCATATACTGTAAGTGGACTTGGGTAGACCTGGTGTACTTTAGTCAGCGTTGAAAGAGCAAGACAGGTGAAAGAGGCGGCAATGGTTGTTTTATAAGCTGTTTAACTAAGTAAGACGAATTTGAGCAAGAGTCAGGCCAAACTTGCTGAGAACATTTATTGCTGCCAGTTGAGATTAACGAAGTGTAGACCCTCTTTGCCAAGAGGGGCACCACCTCATTCTTTTGGCATAGGCCTTTGTTGCTGGGCTGTCACAGTCAGGCTGGCGAGATGCCATTGGCCCTTTTTCTGGAACGTCTCGGTGGTGTTGCCTGCTCTCCAGTGACTAGCTTTTGCTGCACAGTTTGAAGCCGCTTCATTTTTGTTTTTTGCCTTCGAGCAGTTCTCTGTTTTTTAGTTTTTAAGAAACTATCCTCTAATTGGTATAGAAAGTCTTCAATTCGTCCAACCTAGAAGAAATAAACAGATACAACAAGATTCGTTGTTGTTTCCCCAGGTTTTGTGTACTTAGGAAAATGGTGAGGAACTTAAAAGTAAACGGCACATACAGGTCCAGGTTGGAACAGAACTGGCGGAGACAGACACAATTAAGTGTAAAAGCCCCCTTTTTGTTTTAATTTCAGGGTCCTTTGTTTTACGAACGTGAAGCAGACATGCAGGAATTTGCTTTACCACTCAGTGGTAATGAGTGGTATCCCCATATTGGGGATGGGACTGGGGATTATCATCACCTGCTGTCTTTACTGGTCAGTAAAACCAGGGATTTCGAAAAGGAATAAATGGTGAAAAATTATTCAATTTTCTAAAAGAATAACGAAACAAAATCTACTCCCCTCAAAACCAGAGATTCTAGCACTGGTATACCCCAGGCCAACTTGGGAGAAAAATGAATATTCCACATTGTCTTAGCAAGAGCCAAATCAAAAGTTGAAATAAAATAAGATAAAATAACGATATACAAAACAATAGTTCTTAGAAATAAATTATTTGTCTTTCTCCAAAGAAAACTTATCATTATTCAGTGACAGTTGGTTGAATGTATTATACTATTTGTCAGAGTAAAACAGTTTACATATCTGCTGAGTTGGGCTTTCATGATGAAAAACAATTCATACGTAACCCTGATTCCCAAAACCTGCATATTGTATTAGTCTAAAATCACTCACTGAAGAACCTGTTGTCGTAAAGTTAGCTCAAAGCTAGAGCACTTACTCTTCAAGGTATATTAACATATTGTCTACTTAAGATAAAAGCACTTACAAGTTCAATTTTCCAATTTTGAGCTCTACTTTTAAATCACTTGATTTATCATTCAGAGTAATATCCAAAAGATAATTCAGATTGTCAAAAAGAGTAATAAATGGTAGCACTCATTTATATGTTATAGTTAGGTCTTCTATCACACAAGGTGATGAAAACTGTCCATTGGTTTCCTTAAGAAAATAAGATAATTTATTTATGTGAAAACAATTCTTTTTGAAAACCTAAAATTACTTCAGGTAAATTTTTCCAAAAGTACATATTTACGATATCTGATTATTGCAGCAATCATCAAAATGATTTGACAGAATATTTTGGGATCCTGTCATGAAGTCAATGCATTATTCTAGGTATTCCATCCACTTTTACTATCCAACTTACACCAAAACCATAAGTAAAAAATTAACACAGAGCACAATCAAAATAAACACGATGGATAGCACTTTACTGTTGCTTCGATAGAGTTGATTACTCACTCATGTTATTTGCGCTGAAAATGTATGGTTTAAGTCAAAGCTCTTTACAGTGATAACGTTTGCAGTTAGTCCAAATACAGTTACAATTACAACCCTAATGCAACAAGAAGAGCTTCCTTCAATGATACAGAAAAATAATTGCTTTAAAATATCCATTAGGTGGCTGCTATCTTTTTTAAAGATTGTGTTTATTAAGAGCAGTGTTGACTAACTGGTTTGCCTTTCATTAAAAAAGGCAAAGAAGAAACACAAGCTATGTCATTGGAATAGAGAGTACTGCTGAATTAAACTGGGAGGTCTAGAGTACAGACTGTGTACATGTCTCACCTGGCCTAAGGTGTTCACCTCCTGCCTGGTCTGTCTACATGCTATCCTTTTAACCCATTCTCCTAATAATACTGGAATGATCTTTTTAAAATGTATATCTGGTCACATTTCCCCCAGCTTAAAATGCCTAAGTGGATTCCCAAGCCCTTAACATGATCTACACAGCTCTGGGTGATCTGGTTACACTTCTGTCTCTAATTCTGTCTCCTGTCACTACATTTGCCTTAGCCCTGTGGTACATCTCTCAGTTTTCTAAACACAACCGTGCAGCATTCTCTGCACCCTTGATCTTCCTAATTCTATGTCCTCTGATGGAATACTCCCATTGGAACCCTTACATATCCTCTGGATTTCAGGTTCAACATCAGTGCCTCAGGGACATACTTCTTGATAACCCAGACCAGGTTGGGGCTCTCAGTAACATATTCCCACAGCAGCCGATTCATCTCTTTGCATATTGTAAGTTTTTACTTAATTGTTTATAATGATTTATATAATATCTATCTTCCCGTCTGGGCTTGCTCCATAAGGCAGGCAGCTAGGTCCATGGTGTTCACTATTCCCAATAACTAGAATATGGTAGACCCTCAACAATCCTACTTTCTGATAATAGAGCTGAAGACATCAGTGTGTTCAGAAACCAATGTGTTTTTCCATACTCAAAGTGATGACTGGTATGAAGCATATCAGAAGGCTTTCTTTTCTCTTAAAGATTAATCACTTTCATATCCCATCATTCTATTACCATTGTTTAGCTTTGAGTCTAGGCAAGGTAATAACAAGGTGTGGTCTCCATACTTGAAACAGCCAAAAGTAGAAAGGGCACTGGGAAAGGAGTCAGGAGTGTTGAGTTCTGTTCTTGGCCTGGCTTATAATCTTGATCTGTGACACCAGAAAAGTCACTGGCCTTTCTGAGCTTCAGTTTTCACCAGCCTTTAGTAAAGAAAGGGTTAGCCCGGATAATTTCCAAGGACACACCAAGCCAAAAAATTCCATGACTTGTACTCACATCAGATTTAAGTTTGTCCAGTCTTAAGATGTGCCCTTATAATTTTCAAACCAGAGGTTATTCTCTTAGATTATACCATTAGATGAATGACAGAACATGCAGTAAAGTAAGTCAGTTTTAGCTTCTGTACTTACTGAAGTGTAGGAGAGCTGCAACATGTTTTTAGTAAAGCTGGTTCTTTATTTTCTTTTTTTAAGTCAAGGAAAGAAAAATGATGGTTGAAGAGAAAATAGATTCATATAACTAAGAAGAACAGATTGCAAATGATAGAAATTTCTATAAAGCCCTTAGGGAAATAAAACACAAAGAAATATGTAAGGAAGGAAATGAGCCAGTTTTTGGAGCAGAGGCCTTATTAGACCTTCTTTTTAGTATAGGGTTTACTTGCTTAACTATATCAGATAGTCTCCTTGGTCATTCTGGGTCTAATTTTCCCATTTGCAAAATGGGCAGATAACATTTTCTTGTCTATCTGTGCGCCAGTGCTGACTTGGCATTACTGAGATGTGAATATCAGACCAAATGAGTTTGTAGAGAATTTGGGGATTCCAGATGATTGAGGGGAACTGAAGTTCTCAGTAAAAGGGCAGATTCTCACCTATCATATGGTTGTCAATCATAATCCTCATCAAAGAGTTAGGAAATTGTTATCGACTAGTTTCTGAGGATTTTTAAATTCTTATGCACAAAAGTCTGTCAGTCATGACTTACTGTGGAGTCAAAAGTTCATAACAAAGATGACTTTGAAACCATAAAAGAGAAGACAGCCTGAGAAGTACAGGAGATTTCAAAGTTGAAATTCTAACAGTACAAAAACAAATAATACCAATTAAGAAGAAATGTGGAGGTAACTAAACAGACCAATATGTATTACAGGAAAATTTCTAGTCAGCTCAGATCTCAAAGGAAGTGCTTTCATTCTTTCATGAAAATATTTATTAAACATCTACTGTGTACAATATTTGGCACTGTACTAAGGTGATAAGCAAAAATATCGAGATGGTTGTTTATGAGGAACTCATTCATGTAGGAGAGGCCGTTAATGAAAACATGATTGCAACAAAGCATGAATGTTTATATAAGAATTATGTACAAAAAGTTGTGTTAGCAAAAATGTCAGAACAGTGAGTTCTATCTGAAGGAATGTGGAGGTGTATTGGAGGTGATAGGAGCTGGGTCTTTGCCAGGACAAGAAACTCATTCCAGACAGAGGAAATGGCATCCAAAAAAGCAAGGTTGTGAAAGAACATGGGCTATTTGATAGGGGTGGGTCACATAGCATAGATGTGGGCATGGGGGAACAGAGAGTAGAGATATACACAGCAGGAAATATAGATTGGGGTCAGCTTATAAAAAGTTGAAAAATACTTAGCTATGTGGTTAGGAAGATAAATCTGGTGCATTGTGTGGGGTGGAATGCAGCCAGGGAGACTAGAAGCAGGTGGGTCAATTAGGGCCCAGTGCAATATGATATGAAAAATACTATTGGGGCCTGCATCAAGGATTTAAGAGATGTTTGGGAAGTAAGAGCTATAGTCTTGATGAAAAATTCTGTGTTGGGGTTAGAAGGCAAGCAGAATTAGTAATGACTCTGAAGTTTCTCATTTGAGACATTGATGGTATCTTAATGAGGTAAGGAATAAAATTCAATGAACAGTTTTAGGGAAGAAGGATGAGTCTGATTAGTGAGAAATGTAAGAGGTAGAAAAAGGTCCCATAATCAGGAATGTGTTAAAAAAAATGGACCTATAATAATAGCCTAGTACTAGGCTAAAAGTCAGAATGATGAAAACTCCTAATAGAAAAGAAAAAACCCACTATTTTGTAGTTTACCATGTGAAAAGCATTTTGGCAGTTAAACAGTCCTAAGAAAGACAAACAAAAAATGACGCTTTCAGTTATTCAGAACAAAAAGGTGGTCATGGCAGAGAGACAGCCTGCTGGGTCAAAGTCAGATATTTCTGGGTTGGAATCCCAGCTCCAGCATGTTCTTGGTGACTTTTGGGCAAACTTATTTAATTTCTTGGAACAAAAGTTTCTTCATTGTCAATTGCTTCACAGGGTCCTAATGAGATTAAATTAAACAATTTATGTGAAGTATTTGCATAGGTTTGAATTGCTATTATTTAGTGGTAGTATTAATACTTGAATCTGGAAGTGTATGCCCAGTAAATAGAAAAAAATACAAATAAATAAAACATACCTATAAAAGTGAAATAAAATTAAAAGCTAAACAACTTTATCTAATAGTTCTTGTGTTTTTGACCTCCACTCTGTGGAGGTTGCTGCCTCAGTAACTGTGCTAAGTGTAGGTGTTTGACATACTTTAAAGTCTTGTGATTAGGTCTCAAAATTCCACTATATAACAGACAAAATT